AACTCCTCTGGGATCCCCACGAGCCCCAAAATCCATCCCCCAAACCATTCTAGGACCCCCCAAAATCACCTCAGAACACCCCCAGGCCCCCCACATTCCCTTTGGGACCTCCCAGTGCCCGCCCCCAAACCCTTTGGATCCCCACCCAAGTTCCTCCAGCCCCCAAAACCCCCCTGGGACCCCCCAAATTCTCTCTTGGACCCCCCAAAACCCCCCAGTGCCCCCCATTCCTCACCGAGTCCCCCCGTTGGCCAGCAGGATCTGGGGGTCCCCCTCGGAGTCGGGGTCCGTCTCCTCCGGGCTGGAGCTGGGGGGATCAACCTGGGGGGGAACCCTGAGATTTGGGGGGAGGGGACGCCAAATACACCCCCCACCCCCCCAAATCCATCCCTCCCCCACACCCAGCCCTCCCCCAAATCCACCCCTCCCTCAGTGCCCCCCAGTTCTTCCCAGTCCCTCCCCAGTTCCTCCCAGTGCCCCCCCAGTTCCTCCCAGTCTCCTCTCACCTCCTCATCCTCCTCAGGGGGGGCCGGGGGGGGATTTGGGGTTCCCCCCTCGTTGGAGGTGCGAGAGTTGGGGGGAGGCTTACGAGGTCCCCCTTTTTTGGGGGCTGGGACCCCCCAGGGGGGTCCAAAGGGGGTCCCCGACATTCCCGTGCTCTGCTGGAACAGCTCCTGTAGGGAAGGGATACAGAGCTCCCAGTATGTCCCAGTATGGCCCAGTTCCTCCCAGTAACCCCAAAACCTTCTCAGAACCCCTCCCAGTACCCCCAGTACCCCTCCTAGCCTTGCACCCAGTGGCTGCCCAGTTCCCCCAGTTGCTCCCAGTCCCTCCCAGTCCCTTCCCAGTGTGCTTCAAATCCCTCCAAGTACCCCCCATTCCATCCCAGTTCTCCCCAGTCCCCCCACAGTCACTCCCAGTGCCCCCCCATTCCATCTCAGTGTCCCCCCAGTTGTTCCCAGTGCCCCTCCAGTCCTCCCCAGTCCCTCCCAGTGCTCCCAGTTCACCTCTGCCAGCCGGATCTCCCTGCCCAGTTCCTTGACCAGCTGCCCCGGCCGGACGGTCTCGGGGATCTCCTGCTCGTGCTCTGCCAGGACCTGAGGGGGGAAAGGGTTAAAATGGGGGGGAAAGGGTTAAAATGAGAGGGGACCCCAAACCCGGGGAACCCCAAAACCTCCCCCCTAAAACCTCCCACCCCTGAGACCCCACAGAGCCCTCCAAAATTCCTCAGAACCCCCCAAAAATAGCTTTGAGCGCCCCCAAAACCCCTCGAGACCCTCCCAAAATTCCTTTGGACCCCCCCCCTCAAAATCCCCACGGACCCCCATCCAAAATCCCTTTGGAGCCACCCCAAAATCCCTTTGGAGCCACCCAAATCCCTCAGGACTCTCCCAAAATCCCTTTGGATTCCACCCAAATCCCTCTGGACCACCCCAAAATCCCTTTGGAGCCACCCAAAATCCCACAGGACCCTCCCAAAATCCCTTTGAAACTCCTCAAAATCTCTTGAGATCCCCCCAAAACCTCTGGGGACCCTCCCAAAATCCCTTTGAACCACCCCAAAACCCCTCGGGACCCCCCCAAACCTCTCGGCGGGTCCAGGCTCGGAAGGCTCCGGTCAGGGCTCGGGCTCCCAGCACCAAATAGGCCGCGGGGTGCCGGCGGTTCTCCCGCAGCCCTGCACCCCAAAATCCCCAGGTTGGGATGGGAAACACCAAACCAGCATGGGAACCACAGGGACACCCCAAAATCAGGATGAGAAACTCAGGAACATCCCAAAAATTTGGGGATGAGACCCCCCCCAGACCACTCTTGGGGGGAGTTTGGGAATTCCCCAAACCCCCCTGGATAGGTTTAGAGACCCCTCAGATAGGTTTAAACCCCCCTAGATGAGTTTCAAGCGCCCCCAGGTGGGTTTGCAGCCCCCCAAAACCCCCTCAGTTGGGTTTAAAGCCTCCCCAGTTGGGCTCAAAGCCCCCTAAGTTGGGTTTAAAGCCCCCTAAGTTGGGTTCAAAGCCCCCTAAGTTGGGTTTAAAGCCCACCCAGATGGGTTCAAAGCCCCCTAAGTTGGGTTTAAAGCCCCCTAAGTTGGGTTCAAAGCCCCCTAAGTTGGGTTCAAAGCCCCCTAAGTTGGGTTTAAAGCCCCCTAAGTTGGGTTTAAAGCCCACCCAGTTGGGTTCAAAGCCCCCTAAGTTGGGTTTAAAGCCCCCCCAGATGGGTTCAAAGCCCCCTAAGTTGGGTTCAAAGCCCCCCCAGATGGGTTCAAAGCCCCCTAAGTTGGGTTTAAAGGCTCCAGGATGGGTTTAGATCCACCTCAGACATGTTTAAACCCCCCCCAGATGAGTTTAACCACCCCAGGTGGATTTAAACCCCCCCAAGTGGATTCCCAACTCCCCCAGAAAGGTTTAAACCCCCCCAAAGTGGGTTTTAAGCCCCTCAAGTGGGTTCCCACCCCCCCCCCAAGAGGTTTTAAGCCCCCCTGGGTGGGTTTTAAGCCCCCCAGGAGGGGCACCCACCTCGGAAGGTGTCCAGCAGGTGCCTCCCCACGTACCAGCAGATGGTCTCAAAATTGGGGAACTTGGCCAGGTCGGGGGTGTTGAGGCGGCGCTGCAGCTCGTACGCCCTGGTGAGGGGATTTTGGGGGGTCAGGGGGGGATTTGGGGGGTCACAGACACCCCAAAACGGCACCTCAAAACTCTCCCGGCACCCCCAAGCTCTCATCCAGCCCCCCAATCCCTCCCTCACCCCCCTCAATTTCCCCCAAGCCCTCCCCCAGCTCCCCCAAAGACACCCCCAAAGCCCCCCTCCAAATCCCCTCAAAACACCCCTAAAACCCTTCCAAAATCCCCAAAGCCCCTCCTTGCCCCCCCAAACTTTTTAAAACCCCCTCAAACTCTCATCCAATCCCCCAAACTCTCCCCAAAAACGCCCCCAAAGCCCCCCAAAACCTGTTCAAAACCCCCAGAACCCCCCCAGCCCACCTGAGCTGCATGCCAATGTTGAGGCTGTGCAGGAAATGCCCCCCAAAGGCCAGCGAGTCCACGGGGGTCAGCACGGCGTGGATCCAGCCTGGGGACAGGCACAGGGAACTGGGGGGACTGGGAGCACTGGGAGGGGCCACTGGGGGAACTGGGATTCACTGGGATCCACTGGGATCCATTGGAAAAGGGAGTTTTGGCATTACTGGGAGCTACTGGGAGTTACTGGGAGCCCTTGTCTGACCCCCATCCTCACCAGGAGACACTGGGGGGGGAACCTGAAGCCACCAAACCCTCACCTGGTGACACAGGTGACATTGGGGGTGCGTTTGGGGTCTGACAGAGGTGGCACAGGTGACACCGAGGGTCTCTGTCCCTTGCACAGATGACACAAGTGACACTGGTGGCATCTGTCCTTGGCACAGGTGACACTGGGGGTGTGTTTGGGGTCTGTCCCTTGCACAGGTGACACAGGTGACATTGGGGGTGTGTTTGGGGTCTGGCACAGGTGGCACAGGTGACACTGGGAGTGTCTATCCCTGGCACAGGTGACACTGGGGGTACATTTGGGGTCTGTCCTTGGCACAGGTGACACTGGGGGTGTGTTTGGGGTCTGGCACAGGTGGCACGGAGGTTGTGCCCAGGTGTCCCCAAGCCCCCCCTCACCTGTGGGGATGAAGAGGGTCTGGCCCTGGCGCAGGTGGCACCGGAAGCACCGATCCACCTGGTCCCCGAAGAAGAGCTCGGGCTGGTTCCGGGAGCTGCTCCAGGCCTCGAACAGCGCCAGGTTGGCGGCCGAGGGGCGCGCCAGGTAAAAGATCTGCTCGCCCTGGGGCACAGGAGAGGGGAACGCATGGGACAGGTAAGAATGCCAGGTTTCATTCTCCCAAAAATCCCCCAAACCCCCTCTACAACCCCCTAAACCCCCCCAACTCCCCTACAAACTCCTCCTCGTACCCCAAGCACGAGGTACAAGGCCAAGGTGCTCCTGCAATCAAGGTGGAAGTCAGTGCAGCCCAACACTGCCAGCCCCAGTACCCCCAAATTCCCTGTAACTCCCCCCAAACCCCTATAATCCCCCCCAAATCCCCTATAACCCTCCCCAAATCCCCTACAAACTCCCCCTCATACCCTGAGTATGAGGTACAAGGCTGAGATAGCCCCACAGTCAAGGTGGAAGTCAGTGCAGCCCAACACCCCCAGCCCCAATTCCCCCAAAAATCCCCTCTACAACCCCCTGCACCCCCCCAGGCCCCTGGAGGACCCCCCCTCGTACCCTGAGCACGTGGTACCAGGCCGAGGTGCCCCCGCAGTCGATGTGGAAGTCGCTGTAGCTGTCCTTGGCCCCCATCAGGCACAATTTCTGCACGCTCGGCCGCTCCCGCGCCGACTCCCCCGGCCACAGGTTCTCCACCCACGAGAGCTTCCGCACAATCCGTGGGGTCTGCACCAGGTTCGACAGCCTGGGGCACCCCAAAAACGGGGATCAGGGGCTGGGGAACCTCCCATGGGCATGGGGTACCCCAGCAGGGAGAGGATGCAGTGGGGGATGCCAAGGAGGGGCAGGATCTGGGATTTTGGGGGTCATTGCAGGGGATGATCCAGGATTTTGGGGATACCTGTGGTTGGAGGAGGAGGGGATGGGGAGGATTTGGGATTTTGGGGGTCTCTGTGATTGGAGGGTGCAGGAGGGGAAAGACTCGGAGCACTGAGAGTGACTGGGAGGCACTGACAACACCAGCAGGGACTGGGCACTACTGGGAGGCAAAATGAGGGACTGGGAATACTGGGAAGGACCTGGAAGGACCACGTGGGACTGGGAGGCGATAGGAGGGACTGGGTGGCACTGGGAAGGACTGGGAGAACTGGGAGCCACCGGGACCCACCGCGTGTCCGAGAACTCCAGGCCGGTGACGCTGAGGACGCGCTCGCGCCGGGGTCCCCCCAGGTAGGCCACGAAGTCCCCGAGGCGCATGCGCAGCTCGGCCTGGCGCCCCACGTCCAGCACGGCCACCACCTTGTCAGCCCCTGTGCACCCCAAAACTGCCTGAGCACCCCAAAAACAGCTACGGGGACCCCAGTAAAACCTCCCTGCATGCCGCAAAACCAGCTGGGAAACACCAAAAACCTCCCCGAACCTCCTTATGCATCACAAAACCTCCCTGAACTCCCCAAAACCAGATGGGAGACACGGCTAGGGGACTCCAGTAATCCCCCAAAACCGCCCTGCACACCCCAAAACCAACAGGGAGACACCAAAAACCTCTCTGTGCATCCCAAAACCTCCCTGAGCACCCCAAAACCGGCTGGGGGACCCCAAAAACACCCCCAAACCTTCCTGTGCACCCCAAACCCTGAACAGGAACCCTCTGGACCCTCACCCGTCCCCCCAGGACCCCCCAACACAGTGTAAGATGGAAACAAGGAGATGAAGTTATGGGGAGACCCTGCCCCTATTGTGGGGTCCTGGGGACCCCCCCGATGCCCCCAGCCCCCCCAAAAGCCCCCGAAAAGCCCCCCAGACTGACCGACGTGGTGCAGGACGTCGCGGGGGGTGAAGGACGGCGGGGGCAGGGTCATGCCCAGCCCCTCGTGCCGTGCCACCAGGATGGGCACGCTGAAGCTGTTCTCCTCCAGGTACTCCACCGTCAGCTGGGCCCCGCTGGGCCGCAGCAGCACCTCGTCAGCACTGGGGGGGCAGGGCAGGGGGGTGAGACCCCCAGGGACCCCCTCAGGGACCCCCAGTTCCTACAGGGACCCCCTCAACCCCCACAGGGACCCCCAGTTCCTACAGGGACCCCCCCAACCCCCACAGGGACCCCCAGTTCCTACAGGGACCCCCTCAACCCCCACAGGGATCACCCAACCCCTGAGCATTTGTTGGTCCACAGCAGAACCTGGTCCGTGCTGGGGGGCAGAGCAGGGGGGTGAGACCCCCAAGAGTGACCCCAGACCCCCACGGGGGACCCCAGTTCCTAAAGGGACCCCCAACCCCTGAACATTTGCAGGGCCACAGCAGAACCTGTTCTGTGCTGGGGGGACAGAGCAGGTGGGTGAGACCCCCAAGAGTGACCAACCAACTCCCCCTGGACTGACCAACAGCACCCAGGGCTGACCCTCACTGGGATTGACCCTCACCTGTGCAAGGGGTACAGCCACATTGACCCACACCTGGCACTGCCCCACACCTGGCACTGCCCCACACCTGGCCCTGCCCTCACCTGGGGAAGGTGCGGCCCCGCAGCTCCCGGATGAACTGGGCACTGCCCGTGCGGGCCGGACGGCCGGGGTCCTGCTCCGGGACCTTGGCCGGGCCACGGCGCCGCTTCACTGCGGGACAGGGGGACACGGTGGGGACAGGGGGACACGGTGGGGACACACAGGGACACAGTGGAGACAGTGGGGACAGAAGGACAGGGCAAGGACAGAAAGACACAGGTGGGGACACACAAGGACAAAAGAACAGTGAGGACACATGGGGACACGGGTGGGGACACACAGGGAAGCAGGGACAGAGGAACAGGGAGGGATCCACACAGAGCCCAGAGCATCTCCCCCGCCCCCATCCCAGTGCATCCCAGTCCCTCCCAGTGCCAGCCACTGACAGAGAGCCTCTGTCCCCCCACCCCAGTCCCTCCCAGTCCTCCCAGTCCCACTCACTGACGGAAGGCCCCCTGAGCACGGCGCACTGGGGGCAGTGGTACAGGTCGATCTCCGCCGCCGCCTCCTCCTCCACCCCCACGCAGCTGTGGGGACACCCCAGTAACTCCCAGTGTCTCCCAGTAACCACCAGGCACCTCCCCAGTAACCCCCAGTGCCTCCCAGTAACCACCAGGCACCTCCCCAGTAACCCCCCATCACACCCCAGAACTCTCTTTGTACCTCCCAGTCCCTCCCAGTATTCTGAAGACCCCCCAGACTTCTCCCAGTGCCCTCTAGTACCACCCAGGCTTCTCCCAATCCTTCCCAGTTCCCCCTCAAATCCCTTCCAGTACCCCTGAACTTCTCCCAGTCACCTCCAGCACCCTCCAGATACCTCCCAGACTTGTCCCAGTCCTTCCCAGTACCCCCAGTCTTCTCCCAGTCCTTCCCAGTGTCTCCCAGTCCCCTCCAGCACCCTCCAGATGCCTCCCAGTACCTCCCAGACTTGTCCCAGTCCTTCCCAGTGCATCCCAGTACCCCCAGTCCTTCCCAGACATCTCCCAGTCTCCCCACAGTGCCTCCGAGTCTTCTCCCAGATCCCCCCAGTGCCTCCCAGTCCCCTCCAGCACCCTCCAGATGCCTCCCAGTCCCCTCCAGCACCCTCCAGATGCCTCCCAGTACCTCCCAGACTTGTCCCAGTCTTTCCCAGTGCCTTCCAGTACCCCTAGTCCCTCCCAGACGTCTCCTAGTCCCCCCCCCCCAGTGCCTCCCAGTCCCCTCCAGCACCCTCTGGATGCCTCCCAGTACCCCCAGTCCCAGTCCCAGTCCCCCCCAGTGCTCCCAGTCCCACCTGCCGTGGAACCAGTCCTGGCAGCCATCGCACTCGATCATGAAGCGGGTCACGTCGTAGGGCAGGCGGCACAGGCAGTACACGGGCACCGAGGCCATGGCCGGGCCCCTGGGGCGACCCCCGACCCTACGGACCCCCGCGACCCCCCCCGGCCCGGGACATCCGCGCGCTGCCCGCCAGACCCCCGAAAATCCCCTCAAAAAAAAAAAAAATAAATAAACCAAAAAACACCCTCAAAATCACTCCAAAGGCAGCCTCAAAAAGATCTCCAAAACAGCCTAAAAAAACCCCAAAACCAGCCTCAGAATCCCCCCAGAACAACCTCAGCAAAACCACAAGAACAGCCTCGAAAAGCGCCCCAAAAACACCCCTGAAACAACTCCCTCAAAAAGAAAAAACTCAAAAAAAAAAAAAAAACCAAAATCAACCCCTAGGCTGCTCCCCTATAAACACCCCCAAAGCCCCCCCAGATCGCGGCCAGCGGAGGGCCCTGAGGGGAACTGGGGAGCACAACCCCTAAAAAAACCGATATGGGTCGGGGGCACCCCAAAAGGGCCTGCGGAGATTGGGATCCCCCTCAGGTATTGATGAGAGCCTGAGACCTCCCCCAAAATTACACAGATGTAGGGAGACCCCTCCAAGGGTCACCGAGGCACTGTGACCCCCTCCCCGAGGCCCAGAGCCCCCCAAAAATGCGCCCGCAGGGTGCCCCCTACTCCTATTGCATGTGGGGACCCCCAAAAGCGCCGCCGGGCCCGGGGTCCCCTCACAGCGCCCGCGGGGCCCCGGCCTCCCCCTCCTCCCGCGCTGTGGAGTCCCCGAGACCCCCTCAAAGACCCGCGGGACCCCCCTAAAAGCTTTGGGGATCCCCAAATAGCCGCCGACACCCCCACAAAGCCGACGGGACCCCCCGAGGCCTGCGGGCCGCCGCGAGGCCTGCGCCCCCCCCCCACCGCCACCTCCCGACTAGGCCGCAGCCCGCCCCGGCAAGGCCCAGCGCTTCTCGCGGCCGCTCCTCCGCCGCCGCCCGGTCGCTACCGCCGCTGCCGGCCCCGGGCCCGGTGCTGCCGCCGCCGCCGCGGCCTCTGCGCGCTCCGGGCCGCCCGGGAAAGTTTTATTCAAACGCGGAAACGGGGAGGGAGAGGGCGGGGCCCGGCCGCCATTTTGGCCGCGTCGCGCCGCCATCTTGGGAAGGGCGAGGGCGCCCCCATTGGGTGGGCGGGGGGCGGGGCCGCCATCTTGGGCGCGGCGCCGCCTTCGCCAGCTCGAGTGTCGCGGTCCGGCCGCCATGTTGGGAGTGGCGCGCACCAGCCACGCTTTTATTTCTCACATTTTAGGATTTTTTTTTTTTTTCCCCCGCGCTTTTTAACAATTTCCCCACAAAACAAACGCCTTCCCCACCCTCTCGAACAAGAACACTCGAGAATTCACCCCGAAACCTCGCTGGCTTGGTGAAGGGGTGAGGTAGATGAGAGGAAAACACGACAAAATGACCCAAAAATGGGCTGAGGGAGGGGTACAGGAATGAGAGGGGGTTGTTGCACCAGTATGACCAGTATGGGCGGGGTGGGTCACCAGTAAACCCAGTACAGCCCACCTGCCTCCGCTGTGGTCACATTGGGAGAAATTCCAGGCCTGTGAGGGGCTTTGGGTGAAAAATGAGAATTTTGGGGGCTCTGGAGTGTTTTGAGAGGAAAAAAAAAGAATTTTTAGATAAATGAAAGGTTGGGGTTCAACTGTTTGAGTTTTAGGGCAAAACAAGGCCATTTAGGGGCTAAAAATTTGGGTTGCTTCATGTGGGGAAAGAAGAGTGACAAGGCCCAAAAAAAGGGATTTTTGTGTGAAATGAGGAGATTTTGGGGATGAAAATAGGGATGATACCCTGTGGGGGAAGGGCAGGCCCTAAAAGAGACTTTTTCGGATGAAATTATGCGATTTGGGGAGCAAAACCAGGGGTAATGTTGTGGGAGGGGTAAAAAAAGGGGAGATAGGCCCAAAAAAGGGGTTTTGGGGTGAAACAAGGCAATTTTGGGGCCAACAAGTGGCATCACATTTGGGGAGGTGAAAAAGAGTAGTGGAAAGGCCACAAAAAATGAGATTTTTTGGGGTGAAATGAGGTGATTTGGGGGCTAAAAAATGGGGACACCTCATGCAGAGAGGGAAAGGCCCAAAAAAGGGGATTTTGGGGTAGAATGAGGGATTTAGGGCAGAAAACTGGGATGGGCAGGGCACAAAAAAGGGGAGTTTTGGAGTGAAACAAGGGGATTTGGGGCACCAGGAAGTGCGGTCACCTTGCAAAGGGGGAATGACCCAAAAAAAGGTGGGGTTGGGATACAATAGAGAGATTTTGGAGCCAAAAAGGGGGGATTTGGGGTCAAAATGAGGTGGTTTTGGGGCCAGAAATTGGGGTTCGGGGCGCTTGAGTATCCTAAAAAGGGGATTTTGGGGGTGAATTGAGGCCAAAAAGTGGGTTCAGCCCACATGGGCAGCAAAAAAGGGGAAATTTTAGGGCAAAATAAGGCAATTTTGGGGCCAGAAATAGGGGTCACAGCACAGGACCCAAAATAAGGGGAAGTTTGAGGTGAAACGAGGTCATTTTAGGGCTGGAAATTTGGGGTCACCAAATGCAGGGAGGGGGGTAAAACAAGGGGGTTTTGGGGTGAAACAAAGCAATTTCGGGGCTGAAAATTGGAAGTTTGACCCAAAATCTGGGTGTTGGAGGGGTCAGGGTCTGGGGCCCCCCTCACTCTGCCCCCGGGGGGAGGGGGCTGCCCCCCCCACGCAGGGCAGGTTTTGGGGGGGGCAGCTCCCCCCATTTTCGGGGGGTCCCACGAGTGCCGCGCAGGGTGGAGACCCAGGAGGAGGTGGCCTGGAGGGAGTGGGGGGCAAAAAAAGTGGTGTTCAGGTTTTGGGGATCCCCCCAGACCCCCAAAAAGGGGGTGAAGTGCACCCCCAAGCCCCCAAACCCTCCAAAAACGACTGTGGGGATCCCCCAGACACCAAAAAAGGAAGTTCAGGGTCCCCCTCAAGCCATGCCAGCCCCCCAAGATGCCCCCAGCCCCCCAAAAATGGAGTGAAGCTCCCCAAAATGGGGTGCAGCCCCCCCCCAATAGATCCCCTCATACCCCCAGAAAGGGGGTTCAGCTCCCTAAAAGAAATCTCAACCCCTCCCCAAAAAACCCTCACAGCTTTCCCACCCGCCCCGAGACTCCCAAAAATGGGGTGCATGGCCCCTGTAGACCCCCAAAATCCCCTGAGCACCCCAAAAATGGGATGCAGCCCCCCAATAACCATCTCAGACCCCCCAAAAAATCCCCCCAGACTCCCAAAAAGTCCTCCCGACCCCTAAAAATGGGATACAGGACCCTTCTAATCCCCCAAAAAAGGGGTGCAGGCATCCCAGACCCCCCCAAAAGTCCCCCCCAGCCCCCCACCTGGGCCCTGGCCGTGTCCTGGACCCACTCGTCCACCAGCCGGTGCAGGTCGTCGGTGAAGAGCCCCTTTTTTGGGGGGGCCGGGGGGATCGGGGGGCCTGGGGAGGGAGCTGAGGCTTCTGTGGGTGAGGGAGGGGAGTTTGGAAAACAGGGGAGCGCCCCAGGGCCCACCTGCACCCAAAAACCTCCCCCTGCACCCCAAAACCCCTCCCTGCACGGCAAAACCTCTTTTTACCCCAAACTGCGCACCCTCAAAATCCCAAAATCCCTCTAAAAATTCCCCTTTTTACCCCTAAACCTCCCCCTTCACGCACAAAATCCCCTCTTTGTACCCCAAAACCTCCCCCTGCACCCCAAAATCCCCTCCTTGCTCCCCAGCATCTCCTTTGCACCCCAAACCCCTCTTAGCCTCAACCTCCCAACACCCCAAACCTTTCATACCCCAAAACCCCCTCCCCCTGCACACCAAAACCTCCTCTTTTTGCCCCAAACCCCCTTCCCTGCACCCCAAAACCTCCCCTTTTTACCCCAACCTCCTTCCCCCACCCCAAAATCCACTCTTTGTCCCCCCAAATCCCCTCTTTTCCCCCCAAAATCCCCTCTTTTCCCCCCAAACCTGTCAGGGCCACTCCCCGGCCCCTCCCTCGTGCCCGGGCCCCCCGAGGCCGCCTCGGGGACCCCCCGTGGCCGCGCTGGGGGGGGGTCCCACCGCCCCCTCCCCATTTTGGGGGGTCCCCCCGGGCCTCTTTGAGGGCCCGGAGCCGCCGGTGCAGCTCCCGCAGCTCCCGGTCCTGCCGCGCCCGCAGCTCCAGAACCTCCTGGATGTGCCTGGGGGAACCAGGGGGGGGTCACGGGGGTCCCCAAAACCCTCCCAGGGCCCCCAAAACCTCCCCAAGACCCCCAAAATCTCCCCTGGGCCCCCAAACTCTCTCGGGGGGCTGCACTGGCGGCTCCTGGGACCTCCTGGACGTGCTTGGGGGACGTCCCCAAACCCCTCCTGGGACCCCCAAAACCCTCCCAGGACCCCCAAAACGTCCCCAAGACCCCCAAAATCTCCCCTGGGCCCCCAAACTCTCTCGGGGGGCTGCACTGGCAGCTCCTGGGACCTCCTGGACGTGCTTGGAGGGGTCCACCGGGGTCCCAGTCCTGCCACACTCACAGCTCCAGCACCTCCTGGATAAGCTCAGGTGGGGTCAGGGGGTGTCCCTAAACCTCTCCAAGCCCCCTTGGGACCCCCAAAACCTCCTCAGGACCCCCCAAATCCCCCCAAAGCCCCTCACTCACTTTTCCCGCAGCCGCCGCAGCTGCTCCCGCAGCGCCTCGTCCTCGGGCTCCGAGTCCCCGTCGCTGCTCAGGGGGGTCTCGGGGGACCCCGGGGGGAGCAGGGGGGCCCCGGGGGGGTGTGGGGGTCCCCCCAGCCCCCCACTCTCACTGCCTGAGCTGGGACCCCCCCAGTCGCCCTCGGGGTCGGCGGGCTCAGGAGGTGGCTAGGGAGGGACAGGGGGAGAGAGGGGTGACAGGAGATGGGGGTGAAGAGGGGGAGATTTGGGATCCCTGGGGCAGTTTTGGGGAGTCCCTGGGACAGATTTGGGGTCTCTGGGGTAGTTTTGGGGATCTCCGAGGCAGTTTGGGGGGTCCCTGGGGCAATTTGGAGGTCCTTTGGAACAGTCTAGGGGGTCCCCAGGGCAGTTTGGGGGTTTCTGAGATAGTTCTGGGGTCCCTGGGGCAGTTTGGGGATTCCTTCGGCCAGTTTAGGGGGGATCCCTGGGGCAAATTTGGGGGGTCTCTGGGGTGGTTTGGGGGTCCCTGGGATAACTCTGGAGTCTCTTGGGGTAGTTCTGAGGTCTCTGGGGCAGTTTTGGGGGTGTCCATGTGGCAGTTTTAGGGTTCTTGTGGCCCTTTGGGGTCCCCAACACCCACCTGGCAGTGCCCTTGCCTTGGGGGGTCCCCGAGTTCCTCTGGCTCCTCTGTGGGACAGGAGGTCAGTGGGGGGGTCACAGGGGTAAATGGGGGTACAGGGGGGCACACGGGGGTATAAATGGGGGTACAGGCAGTGCAAATGTGGGTACGGGTGGGGCACATGGGGGTACCATGGTGGGGTACATGAAGGGCTATGAATGGGGGGCACAGATTGGGGTTTAGGGGTACAGGGGGGCACAGATTGGGGTTTAGGGGTACCCATGGGGGAACAGATGGGGTTTAGGGGTACCCATGGGGGGACAGATGGGGTTTAGGGGTACAGAGGGGGCACAGATGGGGTTTAGGGGTATGGGGGGCACAAATGGGGTTTAGGGGTACCCATGGGGGGACAGATGGGGTTTAGGGGTACCCATGGGGGGACAGATGGGGTTTAGGGGTACAGAGGGGGCACAGATGGGGTTTAGGGGTACCCATGGGGGGACAGATGGGGTTTAGGGGTACAGAGGGGGCACAGATGGGGTGTGGGGCTCCCCAGGGGTTTTGGGGTCCCCCCCGTACCTGTGTGGGGGTCTCCCCCCACGGAGGGGGGGCGCAGGCGCCGGGCCCAGCTCTTGATGCGGCGCCCCCAGCCCTTGCGGGGGCTGCGCAGGCGGGGGCACAGCCCCAGCGGGAAGGAGGCACCCCCGGGCGGGGGGCGGGCGGGGGGCACGGCCTGCGGAACGGGAACGGGATTGGGAACGGGAATGGGACTGGGAACGGGAACGGGATTGGGAATGGGAACGGGACTGGGAATGGGAATGGGACTGGGGACACGGCCTGCGGAATGGGAACAGGACTGGGAACAGGAACAGGACTGGGGGTACGGCCTGCAGAACAGGAATGGGATTGGGAATGGGAACAGGACTGGGAATGGGACTGGGGACACGGCCTGCGGAACGGGAATGGGATTGGGAATGGGAACAGGACTGGGAACGGGACTGGGGGCACGGCCTGCAGAACGGGAATGGGATTGGGAATGGGAACGGGACTGGGAATGGGAATGGGACTGGGGACACGGCCTGCGGAACGGGAACGGGATTGGGAATGGGAACAGGACTGGGAATGGGAATGGGACTGGGGGCACTGCCTGCAGAATGGGATCGGGAACGGGAACGGGACTGGGAACGGTACTGGGGGCACGGCCTGCGGAACGGGATTGGGATTGGGAATGGGAACGGAAACAGGATTGGGGGCACGACCTGCGGAATAGGAATGGGATTGGGAAGGGGAACGGGTCTGGAGGCACAGCCCTCAGAATGGAAATGGGAACAGGACTGGGGGCACGGCCTGCAGAATGGGAACAGGATTGGGAACATGAATGGGAACAGGATTGGGAACAGGAATGGAAATGGGAATGGGATTGGGGGCACGGCCTGCAGAATGGGAACAGGAATGGGAACAGGAATATGGGAATGGAATCAGGAATGGGAATATGGGAATGGGGATGGGAATATGGGAATGGGAACAGGAAACGGAATGGGAACAGGATTGGCAACAGGAATGGGATTGAGAACAGGAATGGGAACTGGAATATGAGAATGGGGATGGGATTGGGAATGAGGATGGGAATATGGGAACAGGAATGGGAATTGGGATGGGAATAGGGGTGGGAATGGGGATGTGAATGGGATCAGGATTGGGGATGGGGATGGAATGGGAACAGGGCGTCAGCACAGCCAGGGTACACCAGGGTCAGCGGGATCTTGGGGTTGAGGGTTTGGGGACACTCAGGTTTTGGGATTGGGGGAACAGCACAGGCTGGGGTTGAGGGGACACTGGGGCCTGGGGTCATCAAGGTCTTGAGGTTTTGGGAGACATCAGGGTCTTGAGGTTGGGGATTTGGGGTCATCGGGCTCTTGGGATTTTGGGTTTCAGGGATACTGACATCTTGAAGTTAAAGGGGCATCAGGAGCATGGGGGTTTGGGTTTAGGGTCATTAGGGTCTTGGAGTTGGGGGTCATCAAGGCCTTGGGGCTGAGGTTCTGGGGTCATTGGGGTTTGGGGTTCAGGGACACCAAGGACTCAGAATTTGGGCGACAGGGAGTTTGGGGTTGGTTACAATCATTCCTGGTCTTTGGGGAACATCAAGGTCTTGGGGTTTGGGTTTGGGGGACACCAAAATTCTGGGGATAAGGACAGGGGCCTCTGGTCCTTGAGGGACACTGAGACCTTGGGGACTGGAGGACACCTGGGGCTCGGAGGCGTCCAGCTCTTGGGGTGGGGAACACTCACCTCTGGTCCCAGGGGTCCCTCCTGTCCCCAAGCACCGGTGACGAATGTCCCCAGTCCTTGGGGGTCACCTGGTGGCTCTGGGGGCCCAGTGGCGAATGTCCCCAGTCCTTGGGGGTCACCTGGCTCTTGGGACACATCTGGCTCTGGGGGGTCGGGCGGTTCCCCGGGTCTCTCCTGCTCCCACGGGGCAGTGGCTGTCCCCTGTTCCTGGGGGACACCCAGCTCTGTGTCCCCAGAGACGAGGGGCTCTTGGTGGTCATCGAGCTCCAGAGGTTTGGGGACAGCCACGTCCAGATGTCCAGAGCTGGGGTCACTCCGCCCCAGGCATTGGGGAGCCCCCAGATCTTGGGGTTCGGGGTTGATCCTCTCTGGTGCGACCTCCTGGGGACCAGTGACAGCTGTCCCCAAAGCCTGGGGGACACCCAGCTCCTCCGCTTTGGGGACATCCAGGTCCTGGGCGTTGGGGACCCCTGTCTCCGGCCCCCCCGGCCCGTCCTGCTCCGACGCTCCGCTCTTGTTTGTCCCCTGTCCTTGGGGACCCCCCTGGGATGTCCCCAGGGCTCTCCGGGTGGGAGGGGGTCCCCCGGGGCCTGTGGGGAGGGGACACCCCCGTCAGGGATGGGAGGAAGGGGTGACACCCCGTCAGGGACAGGGGTGTGGGTGACACCCCCCAGCCCTGGGGGGTGGTGGCAGGGCCGTGTCCCCTCCCAGCCCCTGGGGACGCACCGGTGGCCTCGCGGTTCCGGATGGTTTGGTTGATGCAGAACCTCCAGCGCCCCACGGGCGATGACTGGGGGGGGCCTTCCCCTGGTGGGGGGCGAGGGGTCAGCAGGTGGGGGGTGACCCCAGCCCCCTCCCCTTCTCCACTACTCACCACCTGCTGGCGGCTCCAGGGGTCCCACCTGGGGGGAGACACATTTGGGGGGTCAGAGGGGGGTCTGGGTGGGGGGAGGGGGGAGGTGGGGGCAGGGGGAGCACCTGGGGGTCCGGGGCGGGGGTCCCGAGGAGCTCCCGCGCCTGCGTCACGATGGCCTTGAGCTCCTCCACGAACTTGTCCCGCTCCCCCTCCAGGACGAAGTTGTCCTCGACCTGCAGGGGGGACACGGGTTGTGGAGGGGACAGAGACTGGGGAAGGGGACATGGACTGGGGACATGGGGACACAGAGTGGGGAGGGGGACTCGGATTGAGGGGGGATGTGGGTTGGGGAGGGGGACACAGACTGGGGAAGAGGACGTGGTTTGGGGGGGCACAGATTGAGGGAGGGGGACACGGACTGGAGGCAAGGACTTGTTTCAGAGGTGGACATAGGTTGGGGAGGGGACAGGGACAGGGGACAGAGACTGGGGAAGGGGACACGGGGACAGCTCGGGGCTTGGGGGTCACCATGTAGCAGGCGATGTCCTCGGGCGCGTCCCCGTCCACGTCAAACCTGAAGGTGACCATCTTGCTGTCGTGGGTCTCCAGCTGGCACTCCACCGTGTTGTCCCCAGCTGAGGACACCTGGGGGGTGGTGACACTCTGTGACCGTGCTGGGATGTCCCCACGCAGCCCCCCACAGCCCCCCAGCCCTGCCCTGACCTGCAGCACGGTGAGCTGGAAGCGGGCGGGGCGCTGGCACGACGCACGGCGCTGCCGGGCACGCGGCCCGGGGACCTCGGGGACATCGGGGACGCGCAGCAGGGACGCGGCCTCGGCGGGCACCGAGGGGTCCTCGGGGCCAGGGAGCACTGGGGGTTGTGGCACTGGGGATGGTGGTGGCATCTCTGGGGCTGGTGGCATTCCCATGGCTGGTGGCATCATGGATGGTGGTGGCATCTCCAGAGCTTGTGGCATCCCCATGGCTGGTGGCATCATGGATGATGGTGGCATCTCTGAGGCTGGTGGCATCATGGATGATGGTGGCATCCCTTGGGCAGGTGGCACCCCTGGGGCTGGTGACACCCCCATGACTGGTGGCATCACAGACGGAGGTGGCATCCCTTGTGCTGGTGGCATCATGGATGGAGTTGGCATCTCCGGGGCTGATGACATCCCCATGACTGATGTCATGATGGACAGTGGTGGAACCCCCAGAGCTGGTGACATCCCCACCACTGCTGGCATCCCTGGAGCTGGTGACATCCCTGGCACCAGCTGCGGCTGCATGGCAGGGACTGGCTGTGGTGGCATCCCCTGGGCTGGTGGCACCCCCTGGGCTAGGGGCATTCCCTGGGCTGGTGGCATCCCAGATGGTGGTGGCATTCCTGGACCTGGCAGCATCCCCTGGGCTGGTGGCATTCCTGGACCTGGCGGCATCCCAGGGGTTTTTGGTGGCATTCCAAGGCCTGGCTGCAGCTGCACCATGGGGACCAACTGTGGTGGCACCCCAGCCAGGGGTGGCACCCCTTGGGCTGGTGTCACCCCTGGCACTGATGCCATCCCCTGGGCTGGTGTAACCCCCGGAGCTGGTGGCATTCCGGCTGGAGGTGGCACCCCCAGAGCTGGTGGCACCCCCAGAGCTGCTGTCCCCCCTGAGGCTGGTGGCACTCCTTGCGCTGGTGACACTCCAGGAGCCGCTGTCACCCCCGCAGCTGCCAGTGCCACCCCTGCTGCCACTCTTGGTGCCATCCCCGGCCCCGGTGCCCCAGGTGCCACCTGTGGCTGTGCCCCCACTGTCACCGACCCCCCGCCACAGCCACAGGGGTCCCCCTCAGGCCCAGGTGGCTCCATGGCGGCTCCTCCGGTGCCATCCTCTGCTGTCCCCTCGGTCCCCTGCGTCACCTGCAGGACACGGGGCAGTGCCAGGGGGGTCTGGACCCCTCCAGGACCCCCCCAGTGTGACGGGCACTTACCAGTGGTGGCACAGGGGGGGACACCCCATCCTGGGGTCCCTGTGGGTACCCCCAGAGCTGCTCAGGTGCCCCGGTGACACCGCAGGGACCGGGGACATCTGTGGGGGGGGCGTTGTCCAGGAGCCCCTCAGCTGTGGGGAGGGAGCAAGGGGGGGGGTCACTGCTGGGGGGTCTCACTGGGGACAGGGGGCACTTTGAGGGGCTGAGGGCAGTTTGGGGGGACAAAAAGGGGCAATTTTGGGGGGGCTGGCAGCAGCCTGGGGGTCCAGGGGCAGTTTGGAGGGGGTGGGGGAAGCCCAGGGGTCACACCAGTGACAGGCAGAGGGGCAGTTCTGGGGGACCAGGGGCAGTTTTGGGGGCAGTGGGGATAGTTTGGAGGGGTTGGGGGAAGCCCAGGAGTCTGGGGGCAGTTTTGAGGGGTTGAGGACAGTTTTAGGGGGTAGTTTGAGGGTCTGGGGACAGTTCTGGGTGTCCAGGGGCAGTTCTGGGGGCACTGGGGGCAGTTTTAGGGGGTAGTTTGAGGGTCTGGGGACAGTTCTGGGTGTCCAGGGGCAGTTTGAGGGTCTGTGGGCAGTTCTGGGTGTCCAGGGGCAGTTCTGGGGGCACTGGGGGCAGTTTTAGGGGGCAGTTTCAGGGTCTGGGGGCAGTTCTGGGTGTCCAGGGACAGTTTGAGGGTCTGGGGACAGTTCTGGGTGTCCAGGGACAGTTTGAGGGCACTGGGGGCAGTCTTAAGGCACACTTTGAGGGTCTGGAGGCAGTTCTGGGTGTCCAGGGGCAGTTTTGGGGGCACTGGGGGCAGTTTTAGGGGGCAGTTTGAGGGTCTGGGGGCAGTTCTGGGTGTCCAGGGGCAGTTCTGGGGGCACTGGGGGCAGTTTTNGGCACTGGGGGCAGTTTTAGGGGGCAGTTTGAGGGTCTGGGGGCAGTTCTGGGTGTCCAGGGGCAGTTCTGGGGGCACTGGGGGCAGTTTTAGGGGGCAGTTTCAGGGTCTGGGGGCAATTCTGGGTGTCCAGGGGCAGTTCTGGGGGCACTGGGGGCAGTTTTAGGGTGCAGTTTGAGGGTCTGGGGACAGTTCTGGGTGTCTAGGGGAAGTTTGAGGGTCTGTGGGCAGTTCTGGGTGTCCAGGGGCAGTTCTGGGGGTACTGGGGGCAGTTTTGGGGCAAAGTTTCAGGGTCTGGGGGCAGTTTTGGGTGTCCAGGGGCAGTTCTGGGGGCACTGGGGGCAGTTTTAGGGTACAGTTTCAGGGTCTGGGGGCAGTTTTGGGGTCTCACCAGGGCCGGGCGGGGGCTGCTCCCGCAGCAGCTGCTGCCGCACGTGCTGATCGACCTCGGTGTCCTCGCTCTCGGGGGCCCCCCGGCTCTCGGGGGCCCCCCGGCCCTCCGCCTGCTTCTTCTCCCGAGTCTTCCTCACCAGCGCCAGCCGGTCCCGGATGGATTTGGCCACGGCCTTGGAGTCGCTCTCGTGGAAGAACCCAGATTTCACCTGAGGAGGGGAATTTGGGGTGTCCAGGGGGGCAGCAAGAGCTGGGGGGGGGCTCAGGGTTGGTTCCAGAGGGAAATTTTTGGGGGGTGTTGGTTTTGGGAGAGGTTCAGGGATGAATTTTTGGGGTGTCAGTTTTGTGAGAGGTTCAAAGTGAGGTTCAAGGATTAATTTTGGGGAGTGTTGGTTTTGGGAGAGGTTCAGGGATGAATTTTTGGGGTGTCAGTTTTGGGAGAGGTTCAAGGTGAGCTTTAGGGATCAGTTTTGGGGGAGAGGTTCCAGATGAGGTTAAAGGATGAGTTTTGGGACATTGTTGGTTTTGGGAGAGGTTCAAGATGAGGCTGATAGATTAATTTTGGGGTGACTTTTGCTCTGGAAGGGGCTCAAGAAAAGTTGGTGAAACCAACTCGGGTTCCCGGGTGGATTTTGGGATGTCACTGCCTTTGGGGGTGTTCAAGATGAGCTTGAGCCACAATTTTGGAGGCTCATTGCATTTAGGGAGAATCGAGACCAATTTGCACCTAACCCTGAGGGGTTTTGGGGTCACTCCCTCACCATCTCATAGGCCACCTCCTCGGGGACATCGGCCTCCAGGTTGAAGCTGAACTCGATGGCCTCGTTGTCCTTGTGCTTGCCCTTGAGCTTTTTGGGGTCCTCCACCCAGAGCCGCAGCGCCAGCGCCGGGTCCAGCCCCGCGTCCTCCTCGGCCAGCTCCACGCGCAGCCCCGTGTCCTCGGCGAAGAACGCGTGGTCCAGCAGGTCCCGGATGGACAGCCTGGCGTGGGGGGACGGGAGTGTGGTCAGTGTGGTCAGTGTGGTCAGTCCTGGGTGGCCACGGGCCCCCAGACCACCACCCCACCCACCTCTCAGCCTTGTTCTGCCGGATGCAGCCCTCGATGATCTCCTTCACCTCGGGGTCCGTCACCTTGTGAAAACTCGCCGGCTTGATGCCCTGTGGGGGGACATGGTGACTTGGGGGGCTCTGAGGGGGGTTTGGGGGGCTCTGGGGAGGTTTGGGGGTCTCAGGGGTTGGTGGGACACCCACGCTGGTGACTTTGCGGTAGATCTGGGCGGCGTTCTGGCACTCGGAGTAGGGGTACTCGGACGTGCCCATCTCCAGCATGCACATCCCGAAGGCGTAGACGTCCACGGACTCGTCGTAGCGCTCCTCGTACATCTCGGGGGCCATGAACTCGGGGGTCCCTGTGGGGCAGGCGGTCAGGGGGGGCCCTCAGGGGCGTCCCCGAGGTCCCCGCGGCGCTCACCGATGACGCTCTTGGCGAAGGACGTGCGCATGAGCGTGGCCAGCCCCAGGTCGCCGATCTTGACGGAGCCGGTGGGGCCGGTGATGAAGATGTTGTCGCACTTGAGGTCGCGGTGGATGATGGGCGGCGTCCTCGTGTGCAGGAACTGCAGCCCCTTCAGGATCTGCCGGCACCAGCTCCGCAGCACCTTCGGCTTCATCACCTTGAACCTCTTGAGGTACCTGTGGGGTCCCATCAGCCACGCCCAGACCCCCCCACGGCGTTCCCTCGCGCCCCCAACTCACGTCTTGAGGGTGCCCGAGGTCATGAGCTCGGTGACGAGGACGATGCACTTCTTGCCGCGGAGCGAGGACTCCCAGGAGTCGTAGAAGCGGACAATGTTGGGGTGCTGCAGCCCCTTGAGCATCTCGGCCTCCTCCTTGAAGCGCTGCTGCTCCGCCTTGGTCAGCTTGCGGTCCTGGGGGGCACAGACACACCCCAAAGTCCGGCAGCGGCGTTGGCTCCGGGCTCCAGGGTCAGCGCTAGCAGCCCCCAGCCCCAGGATGGTCATGATTGCCTTCATCATCATTCTCCAGCCCCAGGATCATCATCACCATCATGCCTAAACCTCAGGGCCATTGACAGTACCATCATCATCATTCTCCAACTCCAGTATCATCAGCAGCAGCAGCACCATCAACCCCAAATTCCAGGGTTGGTGTTATCATCATCATCATCATCAACCCCAAATTCCAGGGTTGGTGTTAGCATCATCATCATCATCAACCCCAAATTCCAGGGTTGGTGTTAGCATCATCATCATCATCAACCCCAAATTCCAGGGTTATCATCATCCCCATCCTCAAACTCCACGGTTGTTGTCATCACCATCATCGTTATTCTCCAATCCCAGTATCACCATCATCCCTAAACCTCAGGATCGTTGTCAGCATCACCATCATCATCATCCTCCCCAACTCCAGGGTCATCATCCTCACCCTCAAACTCCATCATCATCATCCTCACCCGCAGTTTCGGGGGGTAGCAAAGCACTTTGGGGGACAAGTGGCTCAATTTGGGGGGAATTGATGGGATTTGGGGTGGCTGTGGGTGGCAGAGGTGGGAGGGGGGTGAACTGTGGGGGTTGTGGTGAATTTGGGGTCTCAATTTGAGGGGCCAGTCAGGGGGCTCATGATGAATTTTGAGGTGTCCCTATCTTTGGGAGGGGCTCAAGGTGAGCTGAAAGGCTCATGGGTGAATTTTGGAGATCACCAATATCGGAAGAGCCTCAAGACAAATTTGAGGAACCAATCACAGCTTTGAAAGGGCTTCAACATCAATTTGAGGAGCCAATCAAGGGGTTCATGTTGAATTTTGGGGTGTCTGAGTTTGGGAGGGGTTCAGGGTGAGCTCAAAGGACCAACTGTGGGATTCAAGGGTGGCTTTTGGGCATCACTGATATCAAAAGAGCCTCAAGCGGAGTTTTGAGGAGCCACTCACAGCTTTGGAAGAAGTTCAACGCCAACTTGAGAGGCCAATCAGGTGCTTCATGACAAATTTTGGGGAGTCCCCATCTTCCATAGAGCCTCAAACCCCCTCCAAGCACCCACCATGACAAATTTTGGGGTGTCCCCATCTTCCAAAGAGCCTCAAACCCCCTCCAAGACCTCCCTACACAACCACTCCATCCGATGTCCCAAAAGAAGCCAAATTTCACCTCCCACCCACCAACTCATGACCCCCAGCCCCCCAAAAACTCACCCCTCACCCCCATCCAGCTCGGGGCTCACCTGCAGCTCACACCAGGCCACCTCCACCCAGGTGTCGGTGTCGAATCCCTTGAAGACCGTCTTGAAGGCGCCGCGCCCCAGCTCGATGTCGAACTTGAGGAAGCGGCCACCGGGCGAGGTGGCCACGGCCTTCATCTCCGCCTCCTCCTCCTCGCCCCCCCCGAGCCGGGGGTCGCCCCGCGGGCCGGGGTCGCCGCCGCGCTCGCCCCGCTCCTCCTCCTCCAGCACCTCCACGCTCTTGCGGAAGAAGCGTTTTGGGGGGGCGGGGGGGGACGCGGGAGTTTTGGGGTCCCCCAGATCGGCCGCCATGGTTGTCCCCACTCCCCCCCCCCCACCCACCCCAAAAATTTTAGGGGGTGACCCCCCCCCCTCCGCCGCCCCCTTGCCAGCCCACCTGCCCCTATGGATGGGGGGGGAGGGGGCCGCGTGTCCGGGGGTGGTTTAGGGGGTCTGGGGGGGTCACCTCGATTTTAGGGGTGTCCCCCCCCTCGGGTGGCACCGGCGGTGGCCGCGTCACCCCCTCCCCCGCGGGGGGGGGGACCTGCGGGGGAGACAAAGAGGATTCGGTGAGGCGGGAATCGGGGGGTGGGAGGGTGTAATTAATAAGGGCAGCGGTGTTAATTGGGGGGGTCCCCGAAATCTGGGGGGGGTGGAAGCATCCCCCCGCCCCCCCCCCGCACAGCGGCTGCTCTTCCTGCGGAGGAAGAACTTCCGGGGACAGCCCCCCCCACAAAAGGATGCTACAGGTACGCCCGCCCCCAAGGATGCCATAGGTACCCTCGGGATGCCCTCGGGTGCTCTGGGTACCCCCCAAGGACGCTGTAGGGACCCCCCAAGGATGCTATAGGGACCCTCGGGCCCCCCCGGGTGCCACAGGTACCTCAGCCTACCCCGCTGTGGGGGTCTCCCCTATGTATCCTATAGGAGCGGGGCGTGCCCAGTTGTGACCCCTGTAGCCGCTTGGGACCACCCTAGCCCACCTCCTATAGCCCCCCCCCCCAGTTCCTGTGTGTCCCCTATAGAGCCCCCATAGAGCCCCCCAGCTCCTAAAGCCCCTCTACCACCCCATAGAGCCCCCCCACCCCTACAGCCCCGATATTCCCCATTGATCTCCCCACCCCTACAACCCCTGTGCCCCCCTAGACCCCACAGAGCCCCCCAGCCCCTAAAGCTCCCCTACCTTATAGAGCCCCCCAGCCCCTATAGCCCCCCACATCCCTCCAGCCCCTGTGTGCTCTCCACCCTCTATAGTACCCCCATATCCCCCTGTGCCCCATATCTCC